CCACCACACCCAACGACGCTGCCGACAACAACACCACATTCGCTAACACCATCGCCACCACCACAGCTAACACCATCGCAACCACCACCAACGTCTCCCTGGCGCCAGGGCCGGCGCTCGTCTGAACTCAGCTTTCCTTTGACATCTACTACGTGTAGAGTTGCGCGGTTTGCACTTGGCCAGTACAGTTGGTCAGTAGCGCTCAATAACTGTCAACTGGCACAGTGTGAACGTTAACTGGCGACAGTGAGTCAGTACAATCTTTGAATGGCTGTCCTAACTGTACTGGCTAAGTGTGAACCGGGCATTAGTCTGTGCTAAACTCGATGTCACTCGATTTGTCTATGGACTCTAAATTGTGTATTTAAAAAGTTAGAAACGGACAGTAAGATGGCGAACATAGAAAACAGTTTTTAAAACTTAACTAATTTCCTTTATACTCTAGGATAAATATTATGGTATAAGCACACAATTGTATGTATGTGTGTTGTAGAATTAGCAAAACGCAGTTAACAGTGGGCTTCTATTGACTATTCTTAGTTTTTCATCAAAAGTAAGAGAAAATAATAAATCTTACAATGATTACGTTCTCTAAATCTTAAGGTGAATCGTAATTGAATTTGTGAGTACTTATAATTTTACGGAGCTCTGTCTAATTTTGCTTTGTTAGTTATATAAAAACATAATATTCGTAGTGAAAATATGTTATTCTCTAGGATATAAGCAGATCATAGAAATATATTATTGAAAGTGACAGAAATAAGATAACAACCGTGTGGAAGTTGAAGGAAAAGTAATGTAATAGGGCATATTTTAAGCGACGTAATGTAAGAAAAATCAATATATTATCTATAATTCGAGTTTATCTATTAGGGATATCATTTAAACTGAGACATATATTACGTAGCTTGTAAAATATTTCAAATAATTCAGCAAACTGTCGATGTTTTAGCAGTAGTATTGTATTAAAAATCTTGCAGGTTGAAGCTGGAGCAATTAGATCACGCATTAAATAACAGACCATAAACATTTAGCGTATTCGTTATTTATGGTTTGGTCATAGACTATAGAAAAATTCATTTATAGAAAAATTATGTTTAAATTGAAGTCATCACGCTTCCAGTATTTTTTTAAATAATTTTTAATTCTTAGAATTCTCTCTAGAATTAAGTAAGAAACTACGTGTAATAAGGCATTAATAGTTTAAGCGGTTTAAAAATTAATCATAGTTTCATAGCATTCTGAATAGCAAAAATGTAACATAAGGTTTCTATATGACGAAAATTGTCTATTTTCGTCGTTTAATACATGTTTTGATCGTCAAATATCTTTTAGAATAGATTAAACTTTTAAAATATAAGGCATTAGATTTAAAATATTACTTCTAAGGAAACACAATGCTGTGTAGATAATAGAAAGATGTAGTGATTGATTCCTAGATATTAAGAAAGTTCATATACCCACATATTATATACCTATATTAAAATTTTATCATCTGTATTTAATATTACTCTCTTTAAATATTAGAAGTTCTATTTGTAGATTGTTAACAGTAGCTAAATATATTAACCTTTTAAATCTCTGAATGTTGTGGTTTACGTAGTTTGTAGATGTGCTCCGTTTTTTATTGAAACAAATGTATATTAATATAATTTTAACTGTTTTGTGATAATGATTTTATTAATTTAAGTATAAAATAACTATTCATCACTCCGTTAGGGCAATGCGGATTGATGAATTGTACGTTTTGTATATTTTTTATGTTAATTTATTGGTATGTAAATGATGTAACGCTCCACGTGTTTTGACTTGTCTTACTTAAGCTTTAGCTTATTCAATAACACGCATTTAAAATCGCTATTGAAACAATGTTTGATGTAGAACAATGTATTTGACGTATATTTATTAGAAGTAGTTGTTAGAATTGAACATTACGGTCAATAGTCATATCAGCCATTATGACTTTTGATTATTATTAAATTTTTAACTACGTATTTACTGTGATTTTAATTTACTTACTTCCCCCCTTTCTATCAAAGTTAGGAATGCTAACAATCTAGGTATAAGTAAGAATTTTCATTTATTTTTACTTTAACTATTAAACAGTATTCTACTATTTTCTAAAGAAATATAACCGAATTAGGTAGTCATTAATACTTTTGTGTATTTATTCACGAGATCTCCACTTCACGTGCATTAAGAAATCAGTAGGTTTTGTCAATTCAATTTTTTTGGTAGTTTTTAAGATTTCCGTAATGGTCACCCTGCCACTGTATCGATTTAGCAACAGGTTATCAATAATTGTCAAGTATAAAAGTCGATTCAATCGATAGTTCGAAAATGAATCGAAATTATTGTTCCTAACATACAATTTCTTTGAACTAATTCTGTAGGATTTTTTAAATCGTTATTGACCTTGAACTTTGTATATGTACTCAGTAGAATTCGCCTTACTGAAATAAGATTTCTACAAAGGATCCTCTCGATGGTAAAATAATAGATTGATTTCTGTAAGAGACTTCTCTTTAAACAATACAGTTTTTAAACAATGTTCTCTAATCGGATTAAAAAACCGAAGGACTGTGAGAATCAAAATCGATTTCACTTAATCGACATTTAAAACAATCGTTGTAGCATCTGTGGACCTGTGGAAAAGTCAAAAAGTGGCAAATTGCAAATTGTCACAAATTGTAAAGCCATAACTTAACCTGATACTATTTCTTGTTAATTTTGCGTTAAATTAGTGATCTGTGTGGAAACCTTGCGGTAAAATAGTTAATCAAATAAATATTTTACACGCGAATCCTACATTGCTAAGAATTTGTCATGGATAACAAGTCTGAGGAGCAGTCCGCTGCGGAACAATCGATATTTATTGCAATAGCACAAGAAGATTTGGACGAGTTTAAGAATTTTTTAGCTCATCACAAGGGTAGTGTAGATTTGTTTGACGAAAATGGCATGACAGTACTACAGCATGCCGCTTATAAGGGCAACAAGGACATGGTTCAAATGCTACTTGATAGGGTAAGTTTGATACGAGTGAATTGACTTTTCTAATAAGGGCTGGGCGTTATAACTGTATTGTACTTTCTTTTTAATTCCCAGGGTGCGGACGTGAATTCCGGAAAACATGAATACAATTACACCGCTCTACACTTTGGGGCACTGTCAGGCAATTCGGATGTGTGTAAATTGTTGTTAAACGCTGGAGCGAAACCCACTGCGACGAACTCTGTAGGAAGAACCGCGTCTCAGATGGCTGCATTTGTGGGGAACCACCACACAGTGGCGACAATTAATAATTTTGTACCTTTGTCAGAGATTTCTTACTATTCTATCCCAACAGGTCAGCAGACAGAACCCTACCTCCCACCAGTATTGGTGGAACCGTTGCACAAATTTGTCCTAGGTGTCAATATTCATCCTGTCCGGTTAGCTCTCAATTTACAAACCTCCCCCATTCTCCTAGACAATGCTGACAAAGCAAGTAAAGTGCTTGAAATGTTAAGTAAAAAAGAGATGACAAGAGGCAGTGACACAAATGAAGTGATGGCATTCAAATACCATTACCTATCTTATATTCTCAATGAAATATATAACATTAGAGATAAGCAAAAACCAAACACAGACACTAAAGAGGAAAAGAAACATGATCCAATTGAAATATTCTCAAAGAAGCTACTTAAGCCTGGCAAAGATGGAGTATCTATGGATCTGATGGATGCGTTCCTTAAGGACTGTGTGAGAGAGTTCCCCTACAGAGAATGTACAACATTCCATCAGATGGTCACTTCATTGACCAGTAAGGATCCCCCTCCCGCGTTAACTGTGATTAACTGTACTATAAACGGTCAGCGTGGATTTATTGATGCGATACCATACTGTAGCACTTGTGGTGAAGAGAAGCCAGCTAAGAAATGTTCTAAATGCAAAACTGTGCAATACTGCGACAGAGAGTGTCAACGTCTCCATTGGTTTGTGCACAAGAAGGCTTGCAACAGGGAAATTACGCCTGTAACTACAACTAAACCTGTCATAGATGCATCAGAATTAACCTCCCAGTTGCAAAACCTGGTTGCTGGATAGACCAGTCTTAGCATGTATAAGTTAAAAAGATTTTGTATGCTTCTTAAACTGTCCTAAGTAAAAAAGTTATTTATTAACCATCTGCTATAATTTAAAATAGACAATATATGTGTATATTGGAAATTGCATAATGTCAGTCATATTTCAATTGTTTTTTAAATGCCATTAAAATGTTAATATTTCATCAGATTTTACTGTCATTTATTTAATATCTTTTGTGTACTCAAGTTTAGTGAAAATCTATCTTTAAAATACCGTCTATTATAAAAATTTGGTTGATCCATGTGAAAGTTTTAGTTAAAAATCTCTAGGTAGAAGATTTGATGTAATAGCGTTTATATTTCTGTGTGCTTTTTAAAATGCAGTTTGTGCCATTATAAAAGCACTATGTCAATCGTGTTTGTGGTACAAATGATTGTTTTAATTTTAAAATTATGCTTATATAAGTGTTGCAATGTAGTACACATAATTTTCTCATAACAGCGGTTTTTTATTTTAATGTAATAGTAATTCCTAATAAAAAGTGTTAACTGTACTGGTTTAATCTTTTATAGATCTTGTGAATTCAATAAATATTACATCTTTTATTTTCGTTTTATTTAAACAATATTGTGACTAACAGATCGAAGTATAATTTTAACTAGAAGTACAAATAACAGCAATAGAGATATGAAAATTAGCAACATTTATTACCAGCCAGTATTAAAATTACCAACAATATTAAAAGTAACCATAATGTTCTGAATAACCATAATGTTTATTTTGTTTTGCTGTTAGTTTTAAGGGTTTCCGTGTCTTTCGTAAGATGGCGCTGGTTGTATCAGCATGGTTTAAACGCTTTTTTTGAATTATTAGTAAAATAGATATTAAAATAAAACCAGAAAGAATTTCTCTTTAAAAATATATTTATTTATTGTCATTTGTTATTATAGTTACACATTTTTTACAATATTTACATAAATTAGCAATATAATATTTTTTTACTTAATTCGTACTCATAAAGTCTTATAATTAATCCCTTAAAATATAATAGTTACTTCTTTAATAAGCGATATTGTGAGTTGCTTTAACTTAAGGCACTTTTATCACATTACATAGATTTGCTCTAATAGCCATGAGGTAGGTGAGCGATGTGATTACATCGGGAGATAGT